CATACACACATACGTACATACATAAATACAATATATATATATATATATATATAAATAAATATAAATACGACTTGTGATAGAGAGCCAGGCAAGCAAATATAGATATACGGAGACCAATGGTGACTTGTTGGCATGTATGCTTGTTTATGGCATGCGTATAAGTGTACATATGTGCATACTCATGTACCTACATACAACTGCGGATCTATTGCATTGGTTCAGCACATCGGGTGTTGCCCAACAGGCGCAAAACGGGACGGAAATAAGGCATGTACCTAAAACCCTAAACCCAAAACCAACATTCGGGTAGAGAGCATACCCTGTTCATTCGATTTGCCACAGATATACTCTCATAAATGCATAGCGTTTTGTTTATACTGCGTAGAGAATACTATTTATGCGTACAAGCACATGTACTTAAATATACTTATCCCTAGACACACACACACTTACGCACAGACACAGACACAGACACAGACACAGGCGCACATACGAACATACACAGAAATATACAGACACGGGCACACACACACACACACACACACATATATATATATATATATATATAAAATACAATGTACGCAGACACAGATATAGACACACCACGCAGCGCATACATTGTGTGCGATGAGCTGTCATTCGTTAGTCCCAGCGAGCCGATGTACTCTGCTTTGACCAAATTTGACGACAGCCGCAACCGCGCCAGGGGCCAATCCCGACGGGATAGGTAAACTATATGGCAAGTGATGAGATAAGTAAACTATAAGGCAGCCCAAATGGGGTTTAAGCTGGACAGACGGCGAGTATGATGAGACTGGGTGATCAAAAGCTTCGTCGAGAGAAGTTAGAAACAACATAAATTCAGCTATTGATGTATATATACATACAAACTATATAGACTTGGCAGTCCAGAGTGCTATAGCACAATACTGTACATACTATATATATATATATACACTACTATATACAACATATCTTCAACTATATATATATATATATATAGACATNTATATAATATACATATA